TTGCAGACATAGGCGTGACCAGCGGTGCGGTGCTGATTGTGCAGCGAACTTACCACCTCAGCATTGCGGATAAGGTGAGCCACCTGTCACGGCCACGCCTCTCTTAGCAGCCACGTCAGCAGAGAGGATAAGGTGAGCACGCCCCCCCTAAACCCACCCCACCAACCCCTACCACCCCCCTTCCCTCTCCCCCCCCTCTCTCCCTCTCTCCCCCCTTTCCTCAACCCCCCTCTCCCCCCTCAGGTGCTCCTTCTCTCAGCTCCGAAACAGCCCATCTCTCAGCTCCGAAACAGACCATCTCTCAGCCCATCTCTCAGCCCATCTCTCAGCCCATCTCTCAGCCCATCGCTCAGCTCCGAAACAGCCCATCTCTCAGCCCATCTCTCAGCCCATCTCTCAGCCCATCTCTCAGCCCATCTCTCAGCCCATCTCTCAGCCCATCTCTCAGCCCATCGCTCAGCTCCGAAACAGCCCATCTCTCAGCCCATCTCTCAGCCCATCTCTCAGCCCATCTCTCAGCCCATCTCTCAGCCCATCTCTCTGCCCCCCTCGCTGACTGCTCCGGTCGTCGTCGGACGCCCGCTCCTCTCCTTTCCTTCTCTCCCGCTGACACCCCTCTCCCCCCCGCCACCCCCGCAACACACAAACTCCCCTCCCCCACTTCAGTAGCTCTTTATCGGTTACTTCTTCGTCGCAGCACCTCTCACTGCTTTTGAGTCGGCTCAAAATCACCTCTCTCTACTCGTCTCTCCAACCCCCTCGCCGATACCGTCAAGAGCACCTACTCGTCAGCTGACCCTCCCTACTTGTCCCCTCCTTCCTCACCCACCCCCGGCACAACGAGGTGACTTTTGAGTCGACTCAAAAACGAGGTGACTTTTGAGTCGACTCAAAAGACCCTCCCTACTTGTCCCCTCCTTCCTCACCCACCCCCGGCACAACCCCCCTTGCTACTTCCTTCCCTCAGGAGCTCATTGGCTCTCTCAGCTTCGAAGCAGCCCTCTCCGCCATCCTCTCGGGCCCTCATTGGCCTGTTCGTCGATTCCTTCGGTCGCTGCCCCTCCTCGTCCCATTGCTCTTCACTCCCTCACTCCCCCAACTCCCCTTCCCTTTCCTTCCCCCCCCTCCCCCCCCTCTTCCTTCCCTCTCAGGAGCTCTTCATCGTTCCTCCAGCTTCACAGCAGCCCTCTCCGCGCTCCTCTCTTCACTTCCAACCCCCTTTGTCCCGTTTTGGTCCCCCCTATCTCCCCTCCCTCCCCCCCTTCAACCCTCCCCCTTCAGGAGTTCTTCATCGGTTCTTTCAGCTTCGCAGAATCCCTCTCCGCGCTCCTCTCCCGTCCTCTGGGCCTTACCTTCGGCCACCGCCCCCCCTCAATTGTTTTTCTCTCCCTCACTAACCCCCCCACCCCACTTCCCCTTCCCCCCCCCGCCTTCTCCCTTCCTCCTCAGGAGCTCTTCATCGGTTCTTTCAGCTTCGCAGCAGCCCTTTCCGCCCTCCTCTCCGGCCCGCTCGCCGATTCCTTCGGCCGCCGCCCGCTCCTCCTCCTCTCCTCCCTCCTCTCCTCCCTCGGCTTCCTCACAATGGCCCTCTCTCACACCTTCCCCACCCTCCTCCTCACTCGCCTCCTCACCGGTTTTGGCGTCGGTATTGGGCTGACCGTCGGCCCTCTTTATGCCGTCGAACTCTCCCCAGCAGATTCCAGAGGTGCTCTTTCCGCCCTCTCTGACCTCTCCTCCTCTCTCGGTCTTCTCTTGGGGTATCTAATCGCCTTCCTCCTCTCCCCTTCTACTGCAAACGACCCTACTCTAGCTGTCGCTGCTGCTGCCGCTGCTGCTGCTACTGATCCTACAGCCACCACTGCTGCCACGGCAGCAGCGGCAGCAGCAGCCGCAGCAGCAGAGAGCGCGTTTTCCCCCCACAACTGGCGGTTCATGCTGCTATTAGGGGTTGTACCCGCAGCAGGGCTGGGCCTAGGTGTGGTGTTTCTAGGGGTTCCGGAGTCCCCAAGGTGGCTGGTGCTGGTGGGGAGGGTGAGGGAGGCGGCAGAGGTGCTGCTGGTGCTGGAGGATGGGAGGGAGGTGGAGACTGCTGCGCTGCTTGAAGACATGACTGCCGCCGCCGCTGCTGCTGCTGCTGCTGCTGCTGCTGCTGGTGTTGGCGGTGGGGGGGGGGAGGATGCAGAAGCAGCAGCGTTGTTGGGAGGGGGAGGGTATGGGGCGGGAGGATCACAGTCAGTCCCAGCTGTGGCAGGAGGAGGGGGAGCCGGAGGGGTGGCAGGCTTACATGCCCTCACACCTACAGCACCAGCAGGAGCACAGTTCTGGAAGGGACCAGCAGGGGGAGGGTTATCTGGGGGCGGTTTAACTGGGGGTAGGTCTTCTGGGGGAGATGGGGGGAAGGGTTTGTGGAGGGGAGTGTTTGGGGGAGGTAAGGGGAGGGCGGCGGGGGGTGGGGTGTGGAGGGAGCTGCTGCTGCCGAGTGAGACTGTCAAGCAGATGCTCATGCTGGCTGTGGGCGCGGCTTTCTACCAACAGGTAGACCTCATTTTTTTTGTGTTGTTACCCTGCTTGGGTGCTGCACTTTGGCCGTTGTGTGGAGGGAGCTGCTGTTTCCGCTTGAGGCAGTCAGGCAGATGCTCATGCTGGCAGTTGGTGCGGCCTTCTACCAACGGGCAACTCTAGCTACCTTGTACGAGCAGGTACCTTTGTCGGCTGTTGTATAGCAGTGTGGTGGAGGGAGCTGCTGTTTCCGAGTGAGGCAGTCAGGCAGATGCTCATGCTGGCCGTGGGCGCTGATTGCTACCACCAGGCACTCTTTAACCCCCAACAATGCTCTAGTAAACCCCGGAGCTCTTCGCCCCAACGGGCCTCACCTCTTCTGCGTCCACGCTCCTGCCTGTCTGCTCTCTCCCTCCCCTCTTAACAGGCAGAGATAGACAGTGTCCACGCACACTTCTTTTCCACCTCCTCATCGCCCCACCCACCCGCCATTCCCCACTCTTCCCCTCCTCTCTCCCCCCCCCCCCCCCTCATGCGACAGGCAACCGGCGTCCCCACAATGCTGTATTACACCCCTGAGCTCTTCGCCACTATGGGCCTCACCTCTTCAGCCGCCATCCTCTCTGCCTGCCTTGCTGTGGCCCTCGCTCGCACTCTCGCCTCTCTGGTGCCGATCACAATGCTGGACGAGATCGGGCGACGCACCCTGCTGCTCATTAGCACAGCAGGTAAGCGGTGTTGAGTTTAACAAGTGGCTGGACTAGTTGGCCTGCTCTCTTTGTGCCATCCTCTCTGCCTGCCTTGCTGTGGCATTCCCCTCGCTCGCACCCTCGCCTCTCTGGTGCCGATCACCATGCTGGTTGAGATCGGGCGACAGACCTTACTCCTCATCACCACGGCAGGTGAGCAGCAATCAGCCTTGCAAGAGGGTGGCTCAGTATCCTGCTCGCTCTGTCTGCCTCGCTGCGGCCCTCACCCCTTCTCTCTAGCCTTCCTGGTGCCAATCTTCATGCTCGGTGAGATAGGGAGGCCACTGGGAGGTCATCTGGAGGCCACCGCGCTGCTGGACGAGATAGAGTGGCCACAAGGCTGCTAGCTCAAGCCATTGTCCTCCACTCAATGAATCTCGGCGACGAATTTTGACATCTCCTCCTTTAATCCCCTTATCCCTCTCCGGGTCCCCTCATCCCCATTCCTGCCCTCCCCAGTCAATTCCAGGCATGACCATCGCACTGCTTGCTGAAGCCAGCGTCCTCCACACAATGAATCTCGGGGGCGAATTCGGCATTTCCTCCTGGCATCCCCTTGTCCTCCCCCCCCCGCCTCCCCTCTCCTCGCTTCCCTGTCCTCCCCTTTCAATTCCAGGCATGGCCATCGCGCTGCTAGCGCAAGCCATTGTCCTGAACACGATAATCTTGGGAGGGTTTGGCACAACCTCCTTTTCCCCTGTCATCAAGCCAACCCCCTTTCCTGTCACCCCCCCTCCAGGCATGGCCATAGCGCTGCTAGCTCAGGGCATCGTGCTCCACACAATGAACCTCGGGGGCGAGTTTGACATCTCCACCGAAAACCCCTCCACCACCACCACTGTTGCAGCCGGTGCTCTCACTTCCCTCGTCGACCGCCCCTTTCAGTCCAACGCCGCTGCTCTCTCAGTCATCGCCGCGGCCAATCTCGCCGTCTTTTTCTCCATAGGCCTCTCCCCCATCTCCACTCTCCTCGCCCCGGAAATCTTCCCCCTCCGCCTACGAGCCCAAGGGACAGGGCTCTCCGTGGCCGTTAGCCGGCTCATTGCCGCTGCCCTCTCCTCCTCGTTCCTGAGCCTGGTGGATGCCACAAGCCCGGGGTTTCCGTTCTTTGTGTTTGCGGTGCTGTCGGCGGTCGCAGTTCCATTTTTGCATTTCTGCATGCGGGAGACTAGAGGGGTGAAGCTGGAGGCGACAGGTGCGCTTTTTGAACCTAGTGCCGGGGGAGGGGTGGGGAGAGGAGGGGGAGGGGGGGTGTGGGGGGGAGGAGGGGTGGGAGGGGCGGGGGGTGCGGGAGGGGAGGGTGCAGTGATGGATGGGCATGGCAGGGCGATCGGGAGGAGAGCGAGGAATGTGGGAGCGGGGGATAGGAGCTTGACCTCGTGACAAAAGGCATAGCTGCTGTCAGTCAGTCAGGCTCGTCAGGTTAGTGACCTGACCAGCTTTCGCAAGGGAGAGTCTAGTTTGAGGCGCCTCTAGACTAGGGGTTAGACCACCTGACCTGACAAAAAGCATTGCAACAGCCAGTCGGGCACGTCAGTGACCAGCTTTTGCAAGAGAGTACTTTCCAGCCCGGGGCAGGAGCTATTTTTTGGCCGAGGAGGAAATAACACTGCATTTCACTGGAGGGCTTCGTATTTGTAGGTGCCTCTATTTCGTAGGCAGCAAAAATCTAGTGTGTAGATTTTGCCTTCTCCATGTGTGGTGTGGTGTGGTTGCCTCTTAATGGTTGATCTGCCAAGAGCAAGCAGGCTAGCTTTGATATATCTCAACTACAGTAACATCCATTTATTACCAACCCACCATACAGACACAAGTACACCACGCCACAACAACCTCCCTTCCCACACCTGGCATCTGCCCTTCCTGCCCTATCTCCAGTGAGAGAGTCTCCACTCCACCCCACCCTGATGCAGACACACTCCACTTACAGACTATAGAGAGCTCCCGGCCCCGGCCCTGGCCCTGACCCCGCCACTTGCAGACAACGAGCACTCAAAGAAATACCCTACCCAACCCTACCCTACCCAAACCTACCCAAACCTACCCAAACCTACCCCCAACCCTACCCTACCCTATCCTATCCCACCCTACCCTACTCTACCCTGCTGCATGCTGCTATTTTTACACAGTCGCCACAACGCATGCTTGCAGCGCTGCTCCATGTGATCTGGTAACCCGATTACACCCCATGTTCGACTCGACACAACACACTTGAAACAACCCTTGTAGCTCTGTACATGCCGAACAGCATGGAGCTTGGAGGCTCCCTCAATCTCCACCAAACGACCTTCCAATCTGGTTACACGGTGTTTTACGGCGCTGAAACCCAGTTATCGCCATAACTTGACGCACTTGTAACCCTTGCAGCTACGCACGAAGGGCACGCAGAAATAGCCGGCGCCGCACTGCAAGGGGTGGCAGACAGAGCGCTTCTTCTTGCACGCGCGCTTGCTCTTCTTCCCCCCAGAGGCTGCAGGGGAGGGGCGAGTGGGGGATAGGGAGGGATGGGGGAAAGGGAGGGATGGGGGAAAGGGAGGGATGGGGGAAAGGGAGGGATGGGGGATAGGGAGGGATGGGGGAAAGGGAGGGATGGGGGATAGGGAGGGATGGGGGAAAGGGAGGGATGGGGGAAAGGGAGGGATGGGGGAAAGGGAGGGATGGGGGATAGGGAGGGATGGGGGAAAGGGAGGGATGGGGGAAAGGGAGGGATGGGGGAAAGGGAGGGATGGAGGAAAGGGAGGGATGGGGGAAAGGGAGGGATGGGGGATAGGGAGGGATGGGGGAAAGGGAGGGATGGGGGAAAGGGAGGGATGGGGGAAAGGGAGGGATGGGGGAAAGGGAGGGATGGGGGAAGGGAGGGATGGGGGAAAGGGAGGATGGGGGAAAGGGAGGATGGGGGAGGGAGGGATGGGGGATAGGGAGGGATGGGGGAAAGGGAGGGATGGGGGAAAGGGAGGGATGGGGGAAAGGGAGGGATGGGGGAAAGGGAGGGATGGGGGAAAGGGAGGGATGGGGGAAAGGGAGGGATGGGGGATAGGGAGGGATGGGGGAAAGGGAGGGATGGGGGAGAGGGAGGGATGGGGGAATGGGAGGGATGGGGGAAAGGGAGGGATGGGGGAAGGGAGGGATGGGGGAAAGGGAGGGATGGGGGATAGGGAGGGATGGGGGAAAGGGAGGGATGGGGGAAAGGGAGGATGGGGGAGCGGAAGGGATGGGGGATAGGAAGGGATGGGGAAAGGGAGGGATGGGGGAAAGGGAGGGATGGGGGAAAGGGAGGGATGGGGGAAAGGGAGGGATGGGGAAAGGGAGGGATGGGGAAAGGGAGGGATGGGGGAAAGGGAGGGATGGGGGAAAGGGAGGGATGGGGGAAAGGGAGGGATGGGGGAAAGGGGGATGGGGATAGGGAGGGATGGGGGGAAAGGGAGGGATGGGGGAAAGGGAGGATGGGGGAGCGGAAGGGATGGGGGATAGGGAGGGATGGGGAAAGGGAGGGATGGGGGAAAGGGAGGGATGGGGGAAAGGGAGGGATGGGGAAAGGGAGGGATGGGGGAAAGGGAGGGATGGGGGAAAGGGAGGGATGGGGGAAAGGGAGGGATGGGGGAAAGGGAGGGATGGGGGAAAGGGAGGGATGGGGGAAAGGGAGGGATGGGGGAAAGGGAGGGATGGGGGAAAGGGAGGGATGGGGGAAAGGGAGGGATGGGGGAAAGGGAGGGATGGGGGAAAGGGAGGGATGGGGGAAAGGGAGGGATGGGGGAAAAGGGAGGGATGGGGGAAAGGGAGGGATGGGGGAAAGGGAGGGATGGGGGAAAGGGAGGGATGGGGGATAGGGAGGATGGGGGACAGGGAGGGATGGGGGAAAGGGAGGGATGGGGGAAAGGGAGGGATGGGGGATAGGGAGGGATGGGGGAAAGGGAGGGATGGGGGAAAGGGAGGGATGGGGGAAAGGGAGGGATGGGGGATAGGGAGGGATGAGGCACAGCTACACAGTCCCCACAGCACGCCTGCAGATACCACACCCTGTGTAGGGTGCAGTGCTAGATACCAAGTGTAAGTAAGTAGTTTCAAAAACAGTCCACGGCACGCCTGCAGATGGCAGACACTGTGTCGGGTGCAGTGCTAGATACCAAGCACGACACTCAATCACCATAACAACGCACGCACTCACCGTGGCATGGCACACACGCACCATGGCACGTCATGGGCAGCAGGGAGGCCGGTTCAGCAGCAGGAGAGACCTCTGGCGCACACACCCGATTCGCACCGCACGGCTGGACAGTCCCAATGGCATGGCTGCAGATGTCACACCCTGACTCCCTCTGCAGCGCTTCATCCCCAGCATTGCAGTTCACCGCGCTCTGCAGGCAGTTATCGGCGCAGGTACAGCTGGCGAAGGTGGCACCTGAACTGGGGAAGGTGCCTGTAAGGTAGTTGTGGGGCAGGTGCAGCTCGGAGATCTGCGATCCGACGGCTGGGATCGAACCGGAGAGATAGTTGGAAGCGAGGGAGCTGGGAGGGGGGGGGGGATGGTGGTGGGGGGGTGGTTGGGGGAATGGGAGGAAGGAAGGATTGGGAATGAGAGTAAGAGAGGGAGGGTTATGGGGGAGAAAGGTTGAAAGGGCAGCAGGAAGAAAAATATAAAAGAGCGGAGGGGGAAAGTGAAAAAAAGGAGCAGAGAATGGCGATATCTAGGCAGGTATTACATGGAAGTGAGGGTGTCTTTGGCGAGTATGGCGGTGGGAAGGGTGCCATAAATAAAGTTGTAACTAAGTTCGCTGTAAGGGGGCAGGGGTGATACGGAGGTTTACAAGCAGGGGGCAGGAAGACAGGGGCGGAGGGGGCTGCGTTGAGAGATCAACTCAGAGGATTGTTCTCCATAGGATGTTTTTGAGAAGTCTCAAAACAAAAACACCCTACAAAATAAAAAACTGTTGTCCATAGGAGCATCCGTTCTAAGAGAGGAACTCTTGGAAAAGAACAACAGAAGCTGCAGTTATCAAGTGCTCTCGGGTATTTCAGGTGCTATCAGGCGCTCTCAGGTGCCCTCAGGTGTGTCAGGCGCTCTTAGGTGTTTAAGACACCCTCAGGTGGCTCAGATGCTTTCTCAAGTGCTTCAGGTGCTCACAGGTACTGCAGGTTGGGAATGGACGGCAGATTCGCTGCCAGAACCCCCATCTCAGCCACGATGCGATCATTGATGAGAGAGCTGCCAGGGGAGGGAGGGGGGTCATTAGAAGAGCTTGTGGGAGCAGCGGGAATGGGAGGGGACCGTGCAGCGTGGTGCCACCGCGCCCAGCTCAACCACAAAACGATCATTGATGAGAAATCTGAGAGGGGAGGGAGGGGGAATATCAGGGGAGCTTGTGGGGGGGAAGGAGGAGGGGAGTAAGGCACGGATCACAGGTACTGCTGATTGGGAATGGAGGGCGGATTCTGTGCCAGCACGCGCAGCTCAGGCCTGATGCAATCATTGCTGAGAGAGTTGCCCTAACTTACATGCGAGTGAGGGTGGTCAGAGCAGACCCCCATACCCCAAATCCCCAAACCTCAAACCTTAAAGCTTAAACCCTAGATCTTGGACCCTTCAACACGCTTACATGCGAGTGAGGGCGGTCAGAGCAGACCCCCATAACCCTAAACCCCAAGCCGAGACCTTAAAGCTTAAACCCAACGTCTTAAACCCTAACCTCAACATGCTCACATGTGAGTGAGGGCGGTCAGAGCTGACACTTGTCTTGGAAAGCTCCCAGAAAGCTCCTGAAGGTTGATAGCTCTGCTCACAGAAACAAAGAAGCATAAATACTTGTAAAACTATTCAGCTCGCATGCACATTGTAACAATAGTGAAAAGTGCAAAGACTTGACCATCCCTTACAGCACCACCTCCCCTCACTCGTATGGCAGTCAGGAGCCCCTCACCATTGCACATGAAAGCTGTCCACCATAACCCTAAACCCGAAACCCGAACCTAAACCTGAAAGCCTACACCTTAAACCCCGAAACCCAAACCCTTGTTGGAGTTAGGCTGCAATGTTGCAAATCTGTGTGTTAGTAATTTGTTCGTTTCGGGTTAGGAATGTTTGTTAGGCTGGGTGTAGCTTTTCCATCCCCAACCTATCCCAACCCAATCCATCCCAACCCAAATCCCCACGATTTGGGAGGATTCCCTTGGGATTCCCTCCGATTTCCCCTTATCCCTTCCAATCCGATGCTTGGTACTTAAGCCGGTATGCCCTCTCTCACTTAATCAACTGCCGTTTTCTTACAACCCTCACATTGCAGTCGGGTGCCCGTCCCCATTGCACGTGACAGCTGTCCACCCGTGAGTGGTCGAGTCCGTCCCCCACTCCACGCTGCACAGGGCGCCCTCTAGCCAATCGGTGAACGGCACGTGGAGGCTTGTCTTGAGTGCCAGCATGGCAGCTGCAGCAGCGGGAGCCATGGCTACTGGCAGAAAAGAATCCCTGGATGCTGCAGAGGAGAGGTGAAGAACGGAGAGGAGAGGTGAAGAATGGCGAGGAGAGGTGAAGAACGGCGAGGAGAGGTGAGGTGAGGAGAGGCGAGGGGATTGGGGTGATAAGTGATTCTTTAGTCGGCTAAAAAATCACTGGCAGAGGAAAGCAGAGGAGTTATAAGGGAGCAAGGAGGGAGAGGAAGGCGAAACAAGGAGGAACGAGGAAGGAGAGGGAGGGGAAAGGGGGCAAGACGGTTTTGAGGCGCCTTAAAAACATGCTGCCATGGCTACAGCCTACTACAGGCAGCACGGATTCCCTGGATGCTGCACAGCAAGGAAAGGAGCTCTGAGGGAGAAAGGAGGGAGAGGGAGGGGGGGAAGGAGGGAGAGGAATGGGGAACGTTGAAAGCTCAAACGGTCAAGTCCTGTAACAATATGCCTTGCAGGGGAAACAATGGGAAAGAGAGGAGAACAGAGGGAAGGATATACCTTACCAAGGACCAGTTGAGGAGAACAGAGGGAAGGATTCACCTTACCAAGGACCAATTGAGGAGAACAGAGGAAGAAAACAGAGGGGAAAAGGGAGGTGAGTGAAACGTTCAAAGTGCAGTGCATCCGGCACTTACCTAAACAATTGACCTCCAAAAGCTCCACGGCAAAAGCTTACTAAAGCAGGACATGGGATACGACAAGGTTGCCACAGCTGCCACTGCGAGCGTTGACTGAGTTGACTGCATTGACTTAGCCCTCCTCCAAACCATAAGATTCGGAGCACAGACCTTCCCCTCCGCACACCCTCCTCCGCAGATGGCGCACTCAGAGCCGCTGCGCTGGTTACCAGCACCAGCCTCGGAAGTGTTACAGGCAGAGACGTCGGTGAGGCAGTTGGTGTGGGCGGAGCAGGCGGGGAGAGGAGTGGGGAGTGTGGGGAAGGACGAGGAGAGGAAGTTGGAGGCGAGGGAGAGGGAGAGCAGCTGAGAGCCCAGTGCAGGGATGGAGCCACTCAGGTAGTTGCCGGAGAGGGTCCTGCGGGGGAGGGGAGGGGGAGGGGGGAAAGATAAAAGCGAGTTAGTTAGGTACGAGATGCATTTAGAGAGGAGAGGCCTTTAAAGAGGAAAGGATGTTTGAGAATAAAGGTAGTTAGAGAGAAGAGGTAGTGCAAGAGAGCTTCCTTACAGCGACGTGCGTAACAGAATGGTGAGCAGAGAGGAATCACTTTGAGGCGCCTCAAAACTAGACTCTTATCACACAGTGCAAGGGAGGGAGTATCCTTACAGCGATGTTAGCGTCGCAATGGTCACCAGAGAGGAATGGATCGGGCCGTAGAGAAGGTTGCTGCTGAGGTCGCTGGAGAGACAGGCAGCCGAGAAAGCATTTGTGGGTGATTGAACTGGTGGTGACGGGCAATATGACCTAAGGGGCGACGGTGGGTACTGTGACCTAGGTGCAGGGACGTAGGTACATAATTACAAAAGTCAAGGCCAAAGCGCAAGGATGTAGGTGCATGCTTACTTACAGGTGGCAATGTGTTGTGAGACATCGTAACCAGGTGACTTTTGAGTTGAATCATAAGCTCAGGTACGTAGGTGCATGCTTACAGGTGCTTGAGGGACGAGAGGCGAGACAGGTGCCACGCAAACGGCTTGAACTCGGTATAGATGCTGTTTCCAGGGAGAGCACTGGGGTGGGGAGAGGGGGGAGAGTGGTAGAGAGGGGCATGTGAGTTGAGAGTAAGGGAGAGAGTGAGATATGTAACACCCGAATGACTTCGGGGGAGCTCGGCATAAATGAAGCTTCGGGGGAGAGCACTGGGGGGGAGAGGGGAGTGGGGAGAGAGGGGGAAGATTGGGGGGAGTGGGCAGCGGTGGTCGGTCAATCAGTTTCGGCAGCGGTGGTCCGTCACCATCCAGCGCGGGCAGGCCCTCTCGTACCTCGGCAAGGTGAACGAAGCCTCCCCGTTCGAAGGGCCCAACCTTGGGGCGCCGGACAAAGGCATGTCCCTCGGGGACTGCTTCGTCGTCTTGGAGCCCATAGGGGAGCTAGCGTAGGCTAGCAGGGGGGAGGGGAGGGGTTTAGGACGCATGCTTGTACCTGGCCCACTTGCCTAGCTCTGTACACAGGTTCCTAATGAATTCAAAGGACCGCTTGGGAAGAGGGGGAGAGGGGAAGGGAGAGGAGAAGAGGACGACGGAGATGAGAGGGGAAGGGAGAGGAGAAGAGGACGATGGAGATGAGAGGGGAAGGGAGAGGAGAAGAGGACGACGGAGATGAGAGGGGAAGGGAGAGGAGAAGAGGACGACGGAGATGAGAGGGGAAGGGAGAGGAGAAGAGGACGACGGAGATGAGAGGGGAAGGGAGAGGAGAAGAGGACGACGGAGATGAGAGGGGAAGGGAGCAGCAAGTGGGAGCAGATACAAAGGCTTCAGCCGCTTTTCGAGCTTCAGGCACTTTTCAGGCGTCAGGCTTCAGAAGCATGGGAGATAATATAAACCCCTGGAGGTCCCTCACATGCTTGAGAGCGCGTGGAGGGTTTGAGTCGACTCAAAAGGACCCGCATGGGAGACGCTTTTCAGGCTTCAGTCGCTTTTCAGGCTTCAGGCACTTTTCAGGCTCCTAAGCCTCTGGAGGTGACTCACATGCTTGAGAGCGCCTGGAGGGTTGAGACGACAGAAGGAACGACGGGGCTGGGAGGCGAAACTGACCCGTCGCGTCCGTGATGTTGCTGCAAGGTGGGGGGAACACAGATAATGCGAATCACAGGTAATGCGAATCACAGGCAATGCGAATCACTGGCAATGCGAATCACTGGCAATGCGAATCACTGGCAATGCGAATCACAGGTAATGCGAATCACAGGCAATGCGAATCACTGGCAATGCGAATCACTGGCAATACGAATCACTGGCAATGCGAATCACTGGCAATGCGAATCACTGGCAATGCGAATCACTGGCAATGCGAATCACTGGTGGGATCCCAAAGGAGGGAAATGCCGGGATCTCGAGGCTTTTGAGTTGACTCACAGTTGTATTTTGAGTCGACTCAAAATACAACTGAAATGCCGGGATCTCGAGGCTTTTGAGTCGACTCACAGTTGTATTTTGAGTCGACTCAAAATACAACTGAAATGCCGGGATCTCGAGGCTTTGAGGAGAAACTGACCCGTGCCCGCCGTGATGCTGCTGCAACAGTGGGACACGTAAACGCAGCGCAACAGTGGGGGGGACATGTAAACGCAGCGCAACATGCTCGTGCCATCACTCACACAAAGCAGAGAGTTGATCATGCAACAATTACTCACATGCTCTTGCAATAATGACTCAAAGAAGCAGAGAGTTGATCATTCAATAATTGCTCAATGCGATAATGACTCACACAAGCAGATAGTTGATCATGCTAGAATGACGCACATGCTCCTGCGACTCACACTAACAGAGACATGCTCCTGTAATAACGACTTACATGCACATGCGGTGATGACTCACATGGCGATGGGGTGGCCTTGGGAATCGCACAGCACCCCAGTCCAGCCATGGGGGGTGAGCATGGAGCCTCCGGGAGTAAGGCAAAGGGAGGCAGTGGTCCAATCTGTGAAGGTCACTCCCAGAGACCTCTTCAGCAGCAGCATCGCCGTGGCTGTTTTGGGCAGGGATGGGGTGACGGGGGGGGGGGAGGAGGATGAGGGAGACAGAAGTTAGAGGAGAGGCTAATGTGAGAACTTGGCATGGGATGAATTTCGAGTCGACTCAACAGCAGCCTGCGGGAGGCAAAGGGAGGCAGCAGGCCAGTTGGTGGACGTCACTCCCAGAGAACTCTTCAGCAGCAGCACCGCCGTGGATGGGGGGCGGGGAGTGGGGCTGGGGGGTTGGGGAGTAGGCGACTTGGAGTGACTTCTGAAGCAACTCAAAAGTCGCCTGTCCAAAACCCTTAGCTGGCAACTTAGGCCCTGAAGCACGGGCAGACGGTATTGCGTGATAGCAAGTCTTCATTGAGCCGAGCCCTGAAAAGTTATTACGTGATAGCAAACATAAATGTTGTAAGCCGAGCCCTGAGGCACAGTTGGTGTCGGCATGGTCGCTGCCTCTCACCTGCACTTGTGTGCACCTTCTGAGTCGACTCAAAAGTCACCTCGTAACAATCTCACATGACACTTTTGAGTCGACTCAAAAGTCACCTCGTCACAATCTCACATGACACTTCTGAGTCGACTCAAAAGTCACCTCGTCACAATCTCACATGACACTTTTGAGTCGACTCAAAAGTCACCTCGTCACAATCTCACATGACACTTTTGAGTCGACTCAAAAGTCACCTCGTCACAATCTCACATGACACTTTTGAGTCGACTCAAAAGTCACCTCGTCACAATCTCACATGACACTTTTGAGTCGACTCAAAAGTCACCTCGTCACAATCTCACATGACACTTTTGAGTCGACTCAAAAGTCACCTCGTCACAATCTCACATGACACTTTTGAGTCGACTCAAAAGTCACCTCGTCACAATCTCACATGACACTTCTGAGTCGACTCAAAAGTCACCTCGTCACAATCTCACATGACACTTTTGAGTCGACTCAAAAGTCACCTCGTCACAATCTCACATGACACTTTTGAGTCGACTCAAAAGTCACCTCGTCACAATCTCACATGACACTTTTGAGTCGACTCAAAATCCCTGAAGCACGCTTGGTGTCGGCATGGTCCAAAACCTCTCACCTGGACTTGTGTGCATCATTCCTGGTGGGACAGTTGAGTCGTGGGCCAGGGCAACACCTAAGTGAATTTTAGGTCGACTCAAAAGGTTGGTGTCAGCATGGCTGCGGCCTCTCACCTGCACTACTGTTGAGCTGATTATTGAGAATTCTAAGAAACCTGGTCGCTGCCTCTCACCTGCACTTGTGTGCATCAATCTTGGTGGGACAGACTCGATAGACACTGTATGGCCGGGGGGAAAGGTAAGAGGCAGACAACACACACACAGAGGATAGTATCTTTTAAAATCGAAGGAAAAAAAAAACAAAAAAGTAGGTTTGAGAGGCAGCAGTGCGAGGGAGTAGGTTTGAGAGGCAGCAGTGCGAGGGAGTAGGTTTGAGAGGCAGCAGTGTGAGGGAGTAGGTTTGAGAGGCAGCAGTGCGAGGGAGTAGGTTTGAGCAGCAGCAGTGCGAGGGAGTAGGTTTGAGCAGCAGCAGTGCGAGGGAGTAGGTTTGAGCAGCAGAAGTGCGAGGGAGTAGGTTTGAGCGGCAGCAGTGTGAGGGAGTAGGTTTGAGAGGCAGCAGTGCGAGGGAGTAGGCTTGAGCAGCAGCAGTGAGAGGGAGTAGGTGTGGTGGTAACAACAAGTAACATACCAGCGCACCCCATGGGGATAATACTCCCCGGCTCAATCCCTTCCTCCACCAGAGGCGCACACGCCTCCCCCTCACCACACCCCCCCCCACAGATGGTCCCACAGTCCCCACTTGTCCTCAAAGAGCCCGGACACCCAGTGAAATCCGTTAGGCAGGTGGAAAAGGCAGTGCAGGTGGGGATAGGGGTGGGGGAGGAGGGGAAGGAGGAGGAGAGGTAGTTGGAGGAGAGTGCGAGTTCGAGCAGCTGAGAGCCCGGCTGCGGAATGGAGCCACTCAGGTAGTTGACAGACAGGGACCTGGAGGGGGGGGGGTTGGGGGGGGAAGGGGAAGGAGGAGGAGATTAGTCAGACCTGAGGAAGAGGGAGTCCGGCTTTGGGATGGAGACACTCAGGCAGGGGGGGAGTACTACAGGACTGTGAGCCTTTCAGGAATGTGAGCCTTACAGGAATGTGAGGGCGGGCAAAGTGAGGAGGGTCTCAGGGATGAAGCCGTAGAGGAAATTGTAAGCCATGTCACTGCAAGAGGGGAGAAGGGGAGGGGGGGGGGGGGGGGGAGGAGAGGAGGGAGGGTGAGGGGGAGGTGTGTGTGTGGGCGGGAGGAGAGGGGGCTCAAAAGGCGTGGTGAGGAGGGCAGCAGGGATGGAGCCTTAGAGGAAATTGGCAGGCAGGCATGTTGTGCAGGGAAGAGGAGGGGGGGAGAATGTGAGGAGGAAGGTGGGGGGGAAAGAGAAAAAAAGGGATAAACGTAGGAGCATATGGAGCCTCCGTTCTAATAAACACTTGAAAAAGAAAGGAAAAAAAAGGTTCTGCAGGTGCTCTCAGGTGCTTCAGCTGCTCTCAGGTGTTTCAGGTGCTCTCAGGTGTGTCAGGTGTGTCAGGCGCTCTTAGGTGTTTTAAGGCATCCTAAGATGGCTCACGTGCTTTCTCAAGTGCTTCAGGTGCTCACAGGTACTGCAGGTTGGTAATGGACGGCAGATTCTGTGCCAGGGCGCCGATCTCAGCCACGATGCGATCATTGATGAGAGAGCTGCCAGGGGAGGGAGGGGGATCATCAGGGGAGCATGTGGGGGCGGTAGGGGGAAGAAAGGCACGGAGCACAGGTACTTCTGGTTGGGGATGGAGGGCGGATTTGCTGCCAGCACGCCCGGGTCAGACCCGAGGTGATCACTGCTGATAGAGCTGCCCTAACTTACATGTGAGTGAGGGCGGTCAGAGCAGACCCCCCATGACCCTAAACCCCAAACCCGAGACCTTAACCCAACAGCTTGGACCCTTCAACGCACTCACATGTGAGTGAGGGCGGTCAGAGCAGACCCCCAATAACCCTAAACCCCAAACCCGAGACCTTAACCCAACATCTTGGACCCTTCAACACGCTCACATGTGAGTGAGGGCGGTCAGAGCAGACCCCCCATAACCCTAAACCCCAAACCCGAGACCTTAACCCAACATCTTGGACCCTTCAACACGCTCACATGTGAGTGAGGGCGGTCAGAGCAGACATTTCACTTGGAAAGCTCCCAGAAAGCTCCTGAAGGTCGATAGCTCTGCTCACAGAAACAAAGTAGCATTAATACTTCTAAAACGATTCAGATCGCAGGCACGTCGTGACAATAGTGAAAAGTGCAAAGATTTTACCACCCCTAACAGGACCACCACCCCTTATAGGACCATCACCCCTTGCAGGACCATCCCTTGCAGGACCACCACCCCTTGCAGCAGCACCACCCCTTGCAGCAGCACCACCCCTTGCAGCAGCACCACCCCTTGCAGCAGCACCACCCCTTGCAGCAGCACCACCCCTTGCAGCAGCACCACCCCTTGCAGCAGCACCACCCCTTGCAGCAGCACCACCCCTTGCAGCAGCACCACCCCTTGCAGCAGCACCACCCCTTGCAGCAGCACCACCCCTTGCAGCAGCACCACCCCTTGCAGCACCACCCCTTCCAGCAGCACCACCCCTTGCAGCACCACCCCTTGCAGAACCACCCCTTGCAGCACCACCCCTTGCAGCACCACCCCTTGCAGCACCACCCCTTGCAGCACCACCCCTTGCAGCACCGCCCCTTGCAGCACCACGCCTTGCAGCACCACCCCTTGCAGCAGCACCACCCCTTGCAGCAGCACCACCCCTTGCAGCACCACCCCTTGCAGCACCACCCCTTGCAGCAGCACCCCTTACAGCAGCACCGCCCCTTACAGCAGCACCGCCCCTTACAGCAGCACCGCCCCTTACAGCAGCACCGCCCCTTACAGCAGCACCGCCCCTTGCAGCAGCACCTCCCCTCAATCACATGGCCCTCGGGTGCCCCTCACCATCGCATGCGAAAGCTGTTTACCATAACCCTAAAGTATAGGGCCTAAACCCCAAAGCCCTGCCCTCAACCTGAAATCTTAAATGTTAAACCCTCACATGGCAGTCGGGTGCCCCTCCCCATTGCACGTGACAGCTGTCCACCCGTGAGTGGTCGAGTCCGCCCCCCACTCCACGCTGCACAGGGCGCCCTGGACCCAATCGGTGAACGGCACGTGGAGGCCTGTCTTGAGTGCCAGCATGGCAGCTACAGCATCGGGAGCCATGGCTACTGGCAGAAAAGAATCCCTCGACCCTGCAGAAGAAGGAACACAGAAGAGAGGGGAAGAACGGAGAGGAGACGAGAGGAAAGGAGAGGGGTGATAAGTGAGCTTTTAGTCGGCTCAAAAATCACCTGCAGAGGAAACGAGAGGAGATTTTTAAGGGAGCAAGGAGGGAGAGGAGGGGGAAACAAGGAGGAACGAGGAAGGAGAGGAAGGGTTAAGGGGACAAGACGGTTTTGAGGCGCCTCAAAAATAGGCTGCCATGTCTACAGCCTTCTACAGCGAGCAAAAGAAAGGAGCTCTCAGGGAGAAAGGAGGGAGAGGGGAGGGGGGCAAGGAGGGAGAGGAAAGGGGAACGACTTTGAAAGCTCAAACGGTCAAGTCCTGTAAAATATGCCTTGCAAGGGAAATAATGAGAAAGACAGGAGAAAAGTGGGAGGAACCGAGAGGAGAAAACGGAGGTGAAAAGTACGAAGAAAAGTGCGTCCGGCACTTACCTAAACGGGGTGAGAGAAGTACGAAGAAAAGTGCAGTGCATCCTGCTGCACTTACCAAACAATTGACCTCCAAAAGCTCCACGGCAAACGCTTACTAAAGCAGGACATGGGATACGACAAGGTTGCCGCAGCTGCCATTGCTGACTGCGTTGACTGAGTTGACTGCATTGACTGAGCCCTCCTCAGAACCATAAGATTCGGAGCACAGACCACCCCCTCCGCACACCCTCCTCCGCAGATGGCGCACTCAGAGGCGCTGCGCTGGTTACCAGCACCAGCCTCGGAAGTGTTACAGGCAGAGACGTCGGTGAGGCAGTTGGTGTGGGCGGAGCAGGCGGGGAGAGGAGTGGGGGGCATGGGGAAGGAGGAGGAGAGGTAGTTGGAGGAGAGGGAGAGGGAGAGCAGCTGAGAGCCAAGTGCAGGGATGCAGCCACTCAGGTAGTTGTCAGAGAGGGTCCTGCGGGGAGGTAGAGGGGGAGGGGGGAAGAGGAAGCCTTATTTGATGGAGAGGTGGTTAGAGAGGAGACGTAGCTAGAGAGGACGCATCTAGACGGGTGTGGAAGTTAGAAAGGAGAGCTAGTGCAATAAACCCTCGTCTGTACCCCTTGCTACCTAATACAGAGGACCAATTGAGGAGAGGTAGGGCAAGGGAGCATTCTTACAGCTACGGAAGAAGAGAAATGGAAATTGAATCGTGAGCAGAGGAACGGGCATTGATGACTTTTGAGACGACTCAAATGCAGGGTCCTTCAAAGGCTTCCTTACAGCGACGTGAGCGTCGGAATGGTGAGCAGAGAGGAATGGATCGGGCCATAGAGAACGTTGCTGCTGAGGTCGCTGGAGAGATGGGCAGCAGAGAAAGCATGAGTGGGAGGGTGTAAGAATTATTGAAAGGGTGGCGACGGACAAAATGAACTAAGGGACAACAGTGGGTACTATACCTAAAGCGCAGGGATGTATGGGCATGCTTACAAAAGTCATGGCCTAACTTCCTTACTTTACTCAAAGCCATGTCCTAAGCTATGTTGGCATAAACGCGTTTCCGCGTTTTTGCGTTTCGTTCTGAACGCTTGCGTTCACGACACAAAACGCAGGATTCTAGGCTTCAAATACGCTCGGAAAACTGATGCCCGGGCAGGCCAATTTTTTTGGCCGGGCAGGGGGAAGAGGGGGAGAGGGGGGGAGGTGGGGAATGGCGGAGGGGTTGACTACCGGCTCGGCTTCAGCGCGACTCGAGGCTATGGTGCTCTAAACGTGTTTCGCGTATGAAACGCAACGCGGAAATTGCGTGAGCTGGCGCGCGCGGTTTTGGGACTTGTCGCAAAACGCTAAGGGAGGTGAGGGGGGGAGAGTGGAGCATTTCAGTTCAGTTCCAGGCAGCCCGAAACATTTTCGACGTGCGTTCGAGCGTTTTGACTCGTTTGTGCATTTTGCGTTTTAACACAAAACGCAAACTAGCAAAAGCGTTTTTGTCAACATAGGTCCTAAGCGCAGGGACGTATGTGCATGGTTAAAGGTGCTTGCGGGACGGAGCCGTGATAACTGCCACGCAAAGCATTTCTGAGGTGCCCAAAAGATCGGCAGATGCATGCTCTGCTCTGATGCATGCTCTGCTCTGATGCATGCTCTGCTCTGATGCATGCTCTGCTCTGATGCATTCTCCGCTCTGATGCATGCTCTGCTCTGATGCATGCTCTGCTCTGATGCATGCTCTGCTCTGATGCATGCTCTGCTCTGATGCATTCTCTGCTCTGATGCATGCTCTACTCGGATGCACGCTCTGCTCGGATGCACGCTCTACTCGGATGCACGCTCTACTCGGATGCACGCTCTACTCGGATGCACGCTCTGCTTACAGGTGCTTGAGGGACGTGAGGCGAGACAGATGCCACGCGAACGCCTTGAACTCGGTATAGATGCCGTTCCCTGGGAGAGCACTGGGGGGGGAAGGGGGGACAAGGGGGAGAAGGGGGAGAGAGGAGCATGTGAGATGAGAGTAAGGGAGAGGGAGGAGGTGAGATAGGTTCCACCCAAATGACTTGGGGGAGAAGGTGAGATAGGCAGCTCGGCATAGATGAAGCTTTGGGGGAGAGCACTGGGGTGGGGGAGAGCACTGGGGTGGGGTGGAGAGTGGAGAGAGGAGAGAGGGGGGAGAGGGGAGAGAGGGGAAGGGAGAGAAAAGGGGAGGAGGGAGAGGAGAGGGGAAAGGGAGCAGCAAGTGGGATGAGAAGAGGGCGAGAGCAGATACAAAGGCATCAGACACTGTTCAGGCTAGACAAGCTTTTAAGGTAGGCTTGAGAAAAGGCATCAGACGCTTTTGAGGCTTCACAAGCTTTTAAGGCATCAGACGCTTTTGAGGCTTCACAAGCTTTTAAGGCATCAAACGCTTTTGAGGCTTCACAAGCTTTTAAGGCATCAGACGCTTTTGAGGCTTCACAAGCTTTTAAGGCATCAGACGCTTTTGAGGCTTCACAAGCTTTTAAGGCATCAGACGCTTTTGAGGCTTCACAAGCTTTTAAGGCATCAGACGCTTTTGAGGCTTCACAAGCTTTTGAGGCTCCTAAGCCCCTGGAGGTGACTCACATGCTTGAGAGCGCCTGGAGGGTTGAGACGACAGAAGGGAACGACGGGGCTGGGAGGAGAAACTGACCCGTCGTGGCCGTGATGTCGCTGCAACGAGGGGGGGGACACAGGTGAGTGAAAAGCAGGTGAGATCCCAAAGGAGCGAACTGCAGGTGATTCTGGAGTGGACTAAAACAGGGATCTCGAGGCTTTGAGGAGAAAGTGACCCGTGCCCGCCGTGATGCTGCTGCAACAAGGAGACTCGTAAATGCAGGGCACCATGCTCGTGCCATCACTCACACAAGCAGAGAGTTGATCATGGCAATGATTACTGAATGCCATGATGACTCACATGCTCATGCAAAAATGATTCACAAGCTCATGTGATAATGACTCACATGGCGATGGGGTGGCCTTGGGAGTCGCAACGCACGCCAGTCCAGCCGTGGGGGGTGAGCATGGAGCCTCCGGAGACAAGGCAAAGGGAGGTAGCGGTCCAGTCGGTGAACGTCACTCCCAGAGACCTCCTCAGCAGCAGCATCGCCGCGGCTGGGGTGCGGGGGGGTTGGGGGAGAGTGGGGGGGGGTGGGGGGAAGTGAGGAGGGGAGAGGGAGACAGAAGCTAGAAGAGTGGCAGGCAATTGTGAGAAGGCAGAGAGAGGCAGCAGGCCAGACGGTGAGGATCTTCAGCAGCAGCATCACCGTGGCTGGGGTGTGGGAGGAGGGGAGAGGGAGACAGAAGTTAGAGGAAAGGCAAACGTGAGAAGGTGAATGGGGAGACCTTGAGTCGACTCAACAGGAGTCTCTGGGAGGAAGGCAGCTGGAGGCATTGGTCCAATCTGTGAGGGTCACTCCCAGAGATCTGCTTGGTGTCCGCATGGTCGCGGTCTCTCACCTGCACTTGTGTGGATCACTCTTGGTGGGACAGTTGAGTCGACTCAAATGTCAGGAAGAACAACACCTGGCCCAGGGCAGCGCCTTAGTGACTTTTGAGTCGACTCAAAAGGTTGGTGTCCGCATGGCTGCGGCCTCTCACCTGCACAAGTGTTGAGCTGGTTATTGAGAATTCTTAAAAACCCGGTCGCTGCCTCTCACCTGCACTGGTGTGCATCAATCTTGGTGGGACAGAATCGATGGACACTGTTTGGTTTGGGGGGGGTAAGGTAAGAGCCAAAAAGCACACACACAGAGAATAGTACATTTTAGAACGTGTTGACAACACAAGGTGTTGACAGCACAAGGTGTAACAGCAACAGATGGCACGAAACAAAAAGAAGGAATGGAAGAAGGGAAAAAAAAAAAAAAAAAAAGACTCCCCCCAGCCATACTAGGTTTGACCAGCGGCAGCAGAAAGTAACCCATCATGGGGAGGTTCGACTCAAACAACATAGTGCATTCCATGGCGATAATACTCCCCGACGCAAACCCTTCCTCCACCAGAAGCGCGCATGCCTCCCCCTTGCCAGACGAGGTGGCATTTGAGTGGACTAAAACAACAAAGCACAGCATGAGGAGCGGACCCTCGGACTAAAGGCGTGCTAGTAACAACAAGTAACATACCAGCGCACTCCATGGGGATAGTATTCCCCGGCATAGTCCCTTCCTCCACCAGAGGCGCACACGCCTCCCCCTCACCACACCCCCCCCCACAGATGGTCCCACAGACTCCACTTGTCCTCACAGAGCCCGGACACCCAGTGAAATCCGTTAGGCAGGTGGAATAAGCGGAGCAGGAGGCGAGAGGGGTGGAGGGGTTGGGGAAGGACGATGAGAGGTAGTTGGAGGCGAGGATGAGCTCCACCAGCTGAGAGCCCAGCTGTGGGATGGAGCCGGTTAGGTAGTTGACAGGCAGTGCCCTGGTGGAAGGGGGGCGGGGAAGGAGGAAGGGGGGGGGGGGGTCAATAAGCCGATCAGGAGGACCAGTCATCCCAGCCCTACTACTTAAGCGCTGCTGCGCTGCTCACAGTCCCCACCTCCCTGGTCGAGCGAGCACGTGACTCACAGAGACTTGGTTCTTACAACGAGGAATTGGGCCCTGCAGAACTGCGAGGGCCGGCATCTTGACTCAAGTGAGCGTGTGACACCCAGGGACTTGGACACCCAGGGACTTGGACACCCAGGGACTTGGACTCACAGGGACTTGGACTCACAGGGACTTGGACTCACAGGGACTTGGACTCACAGGGACTTGGACTCACAGGGACTTGGACTCACAGGGACTTGGACTCACAGGGACTTGGACTCACAGGGACTTGGACTCACAGGGACTTGGACTCACAGGGACTTGGACTCACAGGGACTTGGTTCTGACAACGTAGAATCGAGCCTCACAGGATTGTGAGCGCGGGCATGGTGACAAGCGCAGCAGGGATGGAGCCGTAGAGGAAATTGTAAGCCATGTCACTGCAAGGGGGGAGCGGGGGAGGGTGAGGAGGAAGAAGGTGTGTGCGAGGGAGGGAGGGGAGAGGGCTTAAAGCGCGTGGTGATGAGGGCAGCAGAGATGGAGGCGTAGAGGAGATTGGCAGCCATATTGCTGCAAGGAGGGAGCGAGGGGAGGAGGTTCGGGGGGGGGGGGCTTCAAGTGCATGGTGGGGGGCGCAGGCGGCAGGATGGTGGCAAATAATAAATCGGCAGGCAGACATGCTGCTGCTAGGGGGGAGAGGAGGGAAGGGTGAGGAGGAAGGGGTGTGGGGGGGGGCGGGGAGGAGGCTCGAAAGGCTTGGTGAGGAGGGCAGCAGAAAGAATGGTGTCATAGAGTAAGTTGGCAGGCAGACATGTAGCCGCAAGGGGGGAGAGGAGGGAAGGGTGAGGAGGAAGGGGTGTGTGTGGGGGGGAGCGGAGAGGGGGGGTTTCAAATGCATGGTGAGGAGCGCAGCAGGATGGTTCCATAGGGTACAATACGGTTGCAGGCCAACATGTAGCTTTGAGGCGCCTCAAAGCCAACATGTAGCTGCAAGAGGGGGGGGAGGGGGGAGGGGGGAAGGGGGTGGGGAGGGAAACGTATATCTCCACCTAGTGACGTGTTTATAAGATGTCCGCTAACAGGTGCTGCAGATTGGTGACGGAAGACAAGTGCCGGGTTTGAGTCGCGTCAATAAGAGATTCACTTACAAGCGCTGCAGGCCGGAGACGGCAGACAGGTGCTGGGTAAAGGCCTTGAGCTCTGCATGGATACGCAGTTGACGGAGCATGCTGCAAGGGAAGTGGGGGTGGGGGGATGTAAAGGGGGGGGGGGGTGGGGGTGGGAGGTTGGGGGGGTGGGGGGGTGTGGGGGTGGGGAGAAGAGCGTAAAGGCCTTCAGCTCTGCATGGACACGTTTTCGGCGGAGGGTGCTGCAAGGGAAGAGGGGGGAAGAGTGGGGGGTGGGTCTGGTTTTGAGGCGCCTCAAAAGTAGCTGGTGACGGCAGACAGGTGCTGGATGAAGGTCCCTCTGCGCGGATGCGCGCTAGCAGAGGGTGCTGCAAGGGAAGAGTGGGGGGAAGAGTGCAGGGAGGAGTGGGGGAGGAGTGGGGGGGGGAGTGGGGGAGGAGTGGGGGGAGGAGTGGGGGGAGGAGTGGGGGGAGGAGTGGGGGAGGAGTGGGGGGAAAAAGGGGGGAGGAGTGGGGGGAGGAGTGGGGGTTGTGGGTAGAAGAACGTAAAGGACTTGAGCTGTGCATGGGAGAAGATGGGGAGGGGAGGAGAAAGGGAGAGAGTGGGGTGTATGGGGTAAGGACTTGAGGGGGGAGTGGGGTGGGGAGAGGGGGGAAAAGGGGGGGGGGGGGGGGGGGGATAACATAAAGCACTTCTCCTAGCTTTGGAGCTGGATGTGATACGGAAGAATGTTGTAGCACACATGCATGCACACATGCGCACACTCACGCACTCACACATGCATGCACACATGCACGCACACATGCATACACGCACGCACACATGCATACACGCACGCATGCATGCACACATAAACACACACATGCACGCACGCGTGCACGCACACATGCACGCATGCGTGCACACATAAACACACACATGCACGCACACATGCACACACGCGTGCACACATGCACGCACACATGCATACAAGCATGCGTGCATGGACACATAAACACACACACGCACGCACACATGCACGCACGCGTACACGCACACATGCGCACACACATGCACGCACACATGCACACACACATGCACGCACACATGCACACACACATGCACGCACACATGCACACACACATGCACGCACACATGCACACACACATGAACACACACATGCACACACACATGGACGCACACATGCACGCACACATGCACACACACATGCACGCACACATGCACGCACACATGCACACACACAAGCACGCACACATGCACGCACACATGCACACACATGCACACACACATGCACACACACATGGACGCACACATGCACGCACACATGCACGCACACATGCACGCACACATGGACGCACACATGCACGCACACATGGACGCACACATGCACGCACTCATGCACGCACACATGCACGCACACATGCACGCACACATGCACGCACACATGCACACACACGTGCACGCGTCTACAAGGGCTTACATATGGGTGAGTTGGGGTTGGGGCCAAGTCTAAGTGATTCCGTGTGAGAGCACCAAAGAATGCATGGATCAATCACATGCATGTGAGTGCACCAAAGGCGCCAAGGGCTTACATGTACGTGAGGGCAGTGAGGCTGGAGAGTTGGAGGGGCAGAGGGCCAGGGCTGAGTGGGGAGCCACCTTGAAACGTGCTGTTGGGGAGGGAGTGAGTGAGTGAGGGAAGGGAGGGAGGGAGGGAGGGAGGGAGGTAGGGAGGGAGGGAGGGAGGGAGGGGAGGGAGGGAGGGAGGGAGGGGAGGGAGGGAGGGAGGGAGGGAGGGAGGGAGGGAGGGAGGGAGGGAGGGAGGGAGGGGGGAAGGGAGAGAGGCCATAAGCGAAGAAGGTACATGTGGTGAGGGAAAAGAGGTTGGTGAGGCGGACGGGTAGACGGCCGGAGCTGAGGGCCGGAGCTGAGGGGGAGCTGGAGCGAAACACGCTGATGGCCGGAGCTGAGGGCCAGACGCTGAGGGCCAGACGCTGAGGGCCAGACGCTGAGGGCCAGACGCTGAGGGCCAGACGCTGAGGGCCAGACGCTGAGGGCCAGACGCTGAGGGCCAGACGCTGAGGGCCAGACGCTGAGGGCCAGACGCTGAGGGCCAGACGCTGAGGGCCAGACGCTGAGGGCCAGACGCTGAGGGGCCAGACGCTGAGGGCCAGACGCTGAGGGCCAGACGCTGAGGGCCAGACGCTGAGGGCCAGACGCTGAGGGCCAGACGCTGAGGGCCAGACGCTGAGGGCCAGACGCTGAGGGCCAGACGCTGAGGGCCAGACGCTGAGGGCCAGACGCTGAGGGCCAGACGCTGAGGGCCAGACGCTGAGGGCCAGACGCTGAGGGGGGAGGCGGAATGAACCAAACGCTGTTGCAGAGGGTGGGGCCGGCAGGGAGGGGAGGGGAGGAAGGGGAGATAGTGAGAGAGGGAGGGTGAGAGGGTGAGAGAGGGGACGGGGAGGCTGGAGGGGGGTTTATTCAAAAGAACACAAGCTTGCGCCGGAGATGGGATCATCGCCGTTGCAGAGCACATTGGTCAACCCACCCACGCGTGCGCAGTGCTGCGCGCATGTCACCCCACCTGTGCGCAGTGCTGCGCGCGTGTCAGAGGCATCGCCATCGCCGCAGCACAGAGGTCCACCCAGAGCGAGCTCACTCTGTCTGGAGGTCCAAACAGAGGTCCACACAGAGGTCCACACAGAGGTCCACACAGAGGCACCACACAGAGGCACCTCACTCACTCACATGTCAGTAACCTGGCCATCGCCGTCGCAGAACACGTTGGTCCACCCATCAGTGGGGCCGCACGTGGCAAAGCAGCAGTCAAGGTCTGCGTTCCAGTCGCTATAGGTCACACCAAGGGCTGACTTGAAAGCCTGCAGCGCACCCACTGAGGAGGAGACAGAAGGGGAGGCAGAAGGGGGAGGCAGAAGGGGGAGACAGAAAGGGGAGTCAGAAGGGGGAGTCAGAAGGGGGAGTCAGAAGGGGGAGACAGAAGGGGAGGCAGAAGGGGGAGACAGAAGGGGGAGACAAAAGGGGGAGACAGAAGGGGGAGACAGAAGGGGGAGGCAGAAGGGGGAGGCAGAAGGGGGAGGCAGAAGGGGGAGGCAGAAGGGGGAGGCAAAAGGGGGGGTCAGAAGGGGGAGGCAAAAAGGGGGGTCAGAAGGGGGAGGCAAGGGGACGAAGACGGTAGAGGGAAAAGATAAGAAGAGTGGAGGTCTGAGCGCCAGTTTGTGTGGGTCACGCCGAGAGCAGATCTGAACGCCAGCAGCACATCCACTGGGGGAAAGGGGGGAGGCAGAAGGGCCAGGAGGGGAGGAAAGGGCAAGGGACGAAGAGGGTAAGGGGAGGAGATAAAAAGAGCAGCAGACCCAATGCGGCAACGGCAAGGGAGGGGAGAGGAGACGGCAGGGGGGAGTTGAGAGGGAAAGGGGGAGAGGAGAAGAGAAGAGCAGCAGCACTCGCTGGTGTGGGCCACGTCACGCCCACACCAGCTATAGGAGCAGATAGGAGCAGTAGAAGCAGTGGGGAGGGGTGCATGAGACAAAGGGACGTGCAGAGCAGATAGAAGCAGAGCAGTAGAAGCAGTGGGGAGGGGTGCATGAGACGCACGCACCTGATGAGGCGTCCAAGAGCTGGCCAGCGCCCACCCCGAGGGGAGGCACGAGCAGAGTGCAGAGCAGCAGCAGAAGCAGGGGGGAGGGAAGCAGGAGGCGAAGCAGGGGCGGAGCGGATTGCCGCTGGAGGCGCAGCTGGGAAGTGGCCATGAGCTTGGAAGGCGCAACGCAGGGACTTGACAATCCGAGTTAGAGGCGGAGGGAGGCTAGTGTTGGGATTGGTTGGGACGACTAAAGCGAGGAATTGAGGCAGCGTTGGCTAGAACGCCAAGGAGTGCAGAGGTACAGGTTTGAGACGTCTCAAAAGTGGAAAGCGGAGGTTCGGAGGCGGAGAGAATGGCCAGGGGGAAGGGGGGATGCGAGGAGCTCGAGGGTGAACGATCAGGGAGCAAAAGATCTGCCTGCTAGTGCTTAGTCCGCCGGAATACCAGGAGAAACCATGGGCCGTCCAGTAGATCAAGAAGAGTACCAACTTGTCAGAGGGCCAATAGTCGATATCTTGAGGTGCAATTCTAGCAAGAAAGAGGCGGCCAGTCATATTCCACTTGAGGCTTCTTACTCTTTCAGGCAAATTTGCCATTTATGGCTCCTGCGCTCCTGGGAAGCGTTCAGCACTGTTTAATCCAACCTTGTGGTGAAGAGGGGCGCTAACAGGTAGGCAGCAACAACCCACACATGATGCCGCACATGCCGCTTCGGAGCACTACAGGAACAGCCGCACCTTTGCCGCGGAAGCGGCACAATACGCCACGGCCTGCACCACTTGGTTCAAGCTGGCTCCTCTCTTCCCCTCCGTGAGAATTTTACTTCTGAGTCGACTCAAAATCACCTCGGCCCGTGAAACATCGTGCAAGCAGGCTCCTATCGGCGCTACACAAACCTGTGGGGAGGGGGCGGGAGAGAGCCCCCCCCCCGGCGCCTTTACAGCCTCCCTGGCTTCCAGCACCGCAGAGCCCAACTGCTTCTAACCGATCTCCACGAAAGCGGCACCAACTGCTTCACATGATGGTGGTGCCGTGCGAAACTGATTCTGTTGTTGACTGTTCCCCTGACCCCATAACTGTTCCGTAGCTGTCGCCTGTGACTGTAAACCACTACAGGATGACAGTGCTCCGTCAGACTGATCCACTACAGGATATAACTATTCAGTCGGGTCGCGCCGCGCGGTTCTCTTTCGTGGGCGGATCTTGCTGTCCGTCCGTCCCAACGAACCTGCCAGCATGAGCCGGACAGGTTGCCACCCTCACAGTGTGTGCGAGCCCCCAAAAACGACCTCCAGTGTGGGTCATACTGGCGGTGGTGCCCCCCATCCCAACCGCTCGTTCTTTCATTGGCGGATCATGCTGTCTGTCCCAAGGAACCCTGCCAGCTGTCAGTCACTGACGGTTACAAGCTGTGAGCCAGCTGTCGAACCCAAGGAATTTGTCAGCATGAGCCCCTAAGTTCCACCCTCCCGTGTGGGTCATTCTAGCCGCGCTGGCGCCCCAATTCCAACCGTGGCTAGTTTCTTGTGTTAGTAGCCGGCCCGGAGGCTAGTAGCAAACAAACGGCGGCTTCTGGAAAGAGCGTGTGTTAGCTATCTCTCGGACATCTCAAACCGAAACTGCTAAACGCCACGAGCAGCACGCGCGGAATCATCACGATTCGCGGAGCGCCCTGCTTTCGCCGGAAAGGGTGTCCAAAAAAGAGGAATAAACCAGTGGTTGTTTGGAAAGATGATGGGGCGCCACGGAGCTGGGTTCTTGAAACCTAACCTGCGCGTATCGTGGCTATCGTGTCATTTGCACTTCCTCTCGTGATTCAGTACTGCGGAAGGCCTATCATAATATGCACATGGTGTACACCCTTGGGAGTAACATCACGAGCGGGTGGATTTTTGAAACCTAACATGAGCGCATCGTGGCTATCGTGTCTTCCTGCACTCCTTTGCATCATCATTCCCCGTCGCACATGCCGTTTGCCTACACTGGCTGTCGCGGCGTTCGGATGCTGCTGACCCGTGGATTTCGGAATGCGCTGGACGGCCCGGATGGCCCATCCGTGACACGCTATGCGAAACCATGACGACGCTACGCGAATCCAGACGTCGTCATGGGCCATGGCATGACGAGACGCGCCTTGGGGCTGTGCCGTGCCGTGCTGTCACCAGCTGCTGGCACGTGCCGCTCGAGTGCCAGTCAGTCCAGCATTGCGACGGAACGCACACTCTTGGTGGTTGACGGACACACCGATTCGGTTCGGACACGTCACAACACCGCATAATGACACCAGCAACCTTCTGTCTAGTTGGTGCAGGTAGGGTAGTTACACACGTGCTGCGTCTTTCTGCCATCGTTTCCCCCATGGTTTCACCAGGCAATGCCTGTGCCAGAAAGATGGCAGAAGGCGAGGGAAGGTGAGAAAAGGTGGAGAAAGGTGAGGTGAGGAAAGGTGAAGAGAGTTGGGGAAAGGTGGGGAAAGGTGAGGAGATGTGGGGATGGGAGACTGGGTCAGCCACGTCATCCACTGTGACTTTGGTGGTTGTCCCCTGCCGCTAGCTGAGAATGTCATCCACCATGATGGCTTAAAGCCCGACCGGCAGGTTGCAACTCCCATTTTCTAAGATGCTGCATCTTGAGAACCTGTAACCCAATCCACCCGTAGCAGTGGTTGACGAGTCTCAAACACCTCAACTCTGTGCCTCGACAAACTTGGCAGGTTTGTGTCCCTGCCAAGAATCGAGGTGAAGGAGAACGAAGTGTGCTCAAAGGGTAATTACTCTTACGAATTTTGACTTTCCGGCGGTTTATCGCGTGTACCAATGTGAGTCTCGTTTTCCTTCAACTTGCCCTAACGAAAACAAGGCTCGACGTGAATCGTCGGATGGGTTGCGTATGCCTACATTTTTTCCCATTCACAATTCAAGTTAGTATTTCCCCCGCACCTTTTTCTTTTCATTTGGGTTGTGCATAGAAATTTTGTGAGTAAAATACTAGAATATTAAACTATTTTATAAGGGGGTATATTTTAAACACGTAACATTAATAACTACTGCAATATTTTATGGTTTCGTCTAAAAGAAGTGTTGTATTGCTGAAGTATTCGTTTAGGTTCGGCGGTTTTGTTTCGGGCGGGAACGATTGTTTTATCTGCTTCGTGACTGTAACGCTATACAGTCTCTCACGTTCGACGGGACTCGCTCTCCGTGCGAGAATACAAACCTGAACCAAACTTGAGGTGGTGTAACAACAATCGGATTGTAATACGTGCTATTTAATAGAATATTTGGGTGTAGTAACTGTGCTGACTTGTATTTGGTTTAGCTTTGTGGGGCAAAGCGAATACGCCCCTGGTAGGGCTTGTTGGTGCTTCTTGTTTCTGCTCGTCCTTCCCTCTTACTGTGCTGTACCTAGTTCTTGCTCTTTCGTTCGTCCCTAGTTCTTGCTCGTACAGGTCAGTCCTCACCTAGTTGCTTACACCTAGTTCATCACAAAAATGTGGATCTCTCCTATATTGTAGGTATAGTTGTTCGTATAGCAAGGCTACTCCGTAGCAGACGTACCTATGCCATACCTACTGTATACCTACTCCGTATTTCTGATCCTGGAATTTTGGGATGTTCTTGCTTACCCCTTGTACTTGCTCACGCCTAGTACTTGCTCACGCCTAGTCCTTGCTCACATTGACTTCCTTGCTCATACCTAGTCCTAACTCAAAACTAACTGTTTTCCCTTAGTATCATGCATAACTGCCACCTGGCGCGGAGCCCGTAACCCGTTTCGCGCTGGCCCGTTTTGCGCTGGCAACTTGCGCGCTGGCGCGTTTCTCACTGGCGCCTTGCCCGCTGGCGCGTCACGCGCTGGCGCCTTGCGCGCTGGCGCGTCTCGCGCTGGCGCCATTGCGCGCTGCCGCGTTTCGCGCTGGCGTGTGCGCTGGCGCGTCTCGCGCTTGCGCCTTGCGCGCTGGCGCGTTTCGCGCTGGCGCTTTGCGCGCTGGCGCGTTTCGCGCTGGCGCCATGCGTGCTGCCACCATGCACGCCGGGGCTGCCGCCGTGCTCGCCGGCGCCGTGCGCGCTGGTGCCGTGCGCTCTCTCCTCTCTCCTCTCTCCTCTCTCCTATCTCCTCTCTCGTATCTCCTCTCTCCTCTCTCCTCACTCCTCTCTCCCCTCTCCTCTCTCCTTTCTCCTATATCCTCTCTCCTCTCTCCTCTCTCCTATCTCCTATCTTCTCTCTCCTATCTCCTCTCTCCTATCTCCTCTCTCCTATCTCCTCTCTTCTCTCTCCTCTCTCATATCTCCTCTCTCCGCCCCACGCCTCCCTCCTTCCCCGATCCTGCCCCTACCGCCTCACCTCACCCTCTCAGGTCAATGCTTTCAACCTCGCAGCAGCCAGCAGTGTGACTCGGTGCGACATTCTGTGGCTTGGCTTTTCTCCGCCCCACACCCTCCTCCTTTCCTTACCCTGCCTGTCCCTACCGTGTCTCTGCTCACCCCCTCAGGTGAATGCATTCAACCCAGCAGTAGTGGGCAACGTGATGTGCCGCAACCTTCTCAACATTTACTGGTGCGTGTGTATGGGCATGGCATGCCTGGCTGTGTGTGTGTATGGGCATGGCATGCCTGACTGTATGTGTATATGGGCATGGCATGCCTGGCTGTGTGTGTGTATGGGCATGGCATGCCTGACTGTATGTGTATATGGGCATAGCATACCTAGTTGTATGCATGTATGGGCATAGCATGCATGGTTGTATGCATGTATGGGCATGGAATGCTTGGCTGTATGTGTGTATGGGCATAGCATGCCTGGCTGTGTGTGTGTATGGGCATAGCATACCTAGTTGTATTGTATGCATGTATGGGCATAGCATGCATGGCTGTATGCATGTAAGGGCATAGCATGCCTGACTGTATGTGTGTATGGGCATAACATGCCTAGTTGTATGCGTGTATGTGCATAACGTGCCTGGCTGTATGCATGTATGGGCATGGCATGCTTGGCTGTATGTGTGTATGGGCACAGCATGCCTGGCTGTGTGTGTGTATGGGCATGGTATGCCTGGCTGTATGTGTGTATGGGCATAGCATGCCAGGCTGTATGTGTGTATGGGCATAGCATGCCTAGTTGTATGCATGTATGTGCATAACGTGCCTGGCTGTATGCGTGTATTGGGATGGCATGCCTAGCTGTTTGTATGTATGGGCATAGCATACCTAGTTGTATGCATGTATGGGCATAGCATGCCTAGTTGTATGCGTGTATGTGCATAACGTGCCTGAATGTACGCATGTATGGGCATAGCATGCCAGGCTGTATGTGTGTTTTGGGCATAGCATGCCTGACTGTACGTGTGTATGGGCATAGCATGCCTAGTTGTATGCGTGTATGTGCATAACGTGCCAGGCTGTATGCATGTATGGGCAAAGCATGCCAGGCTGTATGTGTGTATGGGCATAGCATGCCTGGATGTATGTGTATACGGGCATAGCACGCCTGGCTGTGTGTGTGTATGGGCATGGTATGCCTGGCTGTATGTGTGTAGGGGATGGCATGCCTAGCTGTATGTGTGTATGGGCATAGCATGCCTGGTTGTGTGTGTGTATGGGCATAGCATACCTAGTTGTATTATATGCATATATGGTCTTAGCATGCATGGCTGTATGCATGTAAGGGCATAGCATGCCTGACTGTATGTGTGTATGGGCATAGCATGCCTAGTTTTATGCGTGTATGTGTATAACGTGCCTGGCTGTATGCATGTATGGGCATGGCATGCTTGGCTGTATGTGTGTATGGGCATAGCATGCCTGGCTGTGTGTGTGTATGGGCATGGTATGCCTGGCTGTATGTGTGTATGGTGATGGCATGCCTAGCTGTATGTGTGTATGGGGATAGCATGCTGGGCTGTATGTGTGTATGGGCATAGCATGCCTAGTTGTATGCATGTATGTGCATAACGTGCCTGGCTGTATGCGTGTATGGGGATGGCATGCCTAGCTGTTTGTGTGTATGGGCATAGCATGCCTGGCTGTATGTATGTATGGGCATAGCATACCTAGTTGTATGCATGTATGGGCATAGCATGCATGTCTGTATGCATGTATGGGCATAGAATGCCTAGTTGTATGCGTGTATGTGCATAACGTGCCTGAATGTACGCATGTATGGGCATAGCATGCCAGGCTGTATGTGTGTTTTGGGCATAGCATGCCTGACTGTACGTGTGTATGGGCATAGCATGCCTAGTTGTATGCGTGTATGTGCATAACGTGCCTGGCTGTATGCATGTATGGGCATAGCATGCCAGGCTGTATGTGTGTATGGGCATAGCATGCCTGGCTCTGTGTTTGTATGGGGATGGCATGCCTGACTGTATGTGTATATGGGCATAGCATGCCTGGCTGTGTGTGTGTATGGGCATGGTATGCCTGGCTGTATGTGTGTATGGGGATGGCATGCCTAGCTGTATGTGTGTATGGGCATAGCATACCTAGTTGTATTGTATGCATGTATGGGCATAGCATGCATGGCTGTATGCATGTATGGGCATAGCATGCTTGGCTGTATGTGTGTATGGGCATAGCATGCCTGGTTGTATGCGTGTATGTGCATAACGTGCCTGGCTGTACGCATGTATGGGCATAGCATGCCAGGCTGTATGTGTGTATGGGCATAGCATGCCTGGCTGTATGTGTGGAAGAGGAAACAAGGGGGGGTGAGCAACGAGAGAAGAAAGCAGTATCTCAAAGAGAGACCACGTGGGCTGCGGGAGCCAATAGCCAAAGGCAGATTCTACAACCGGGAGCACACATGAGGGCACAGCCCTCAGCCAAAGTTCTAAGCCTGGAGTTTCTTCAGGAAATCTGCCACGGGAGGCAAATCCAGCAGCGTGAGGGCCTTCCAAGGCCCATACTTGTCCTTCACCGCAGGCAAGAGGGTAGATGCAGCCACGCGGGCAGAGTGGAGGGGCGAGGTGATGTGTTCGAGAGCGCTGTCGAGAGCTCGACCGCACACGAAGTCGCAGAGGGCGCAGGTCCAAGGTTCGACCTCCGCATCCAATCTGATGAACAGCAATCCCGAGTCATTTTTGAAAGAAGTAGGGGCAGCGTGGTTCCGGATGGCTTTGCCTGTGAATGGGGCACAAGGACCCGGGGGAGGGAGGACGTGATGGAAGGGAAGGGGCCAGCGCAGCCCAAGGCGGAGAGGCAGAGGAGAGTGCGTGAGGAGCAAACAAGCAAGGCCTAGCGGGGAAGGCGAGCAGAGGAGAGCATGTGCACAGCCGGAATGAAGAGACCAGCAGGAAAGCGAGCAAGCGAGCTGGAAGAGCT